CAGCTGTCTATCTTCCAAGTCCTTCAATAATATAAGTGCTCTTCAGAGAGTAGTCTTGGGATAAAGCCAGATGCTTGTGTGTGTTTTCACTCCAAATTATTATTATTTTCTTTTGTGGGGTGGGGAGACAATTTAGAAAGTGTTGCATGAAGGGTTTTCAAAGTATATGACATTTTGTACCTGGTAGGAGGCATAGAATCAAGATTTTGGAATAAGCCGGCAGTAAGTTGTTTTAATGCTCCAGAGTCATTCTTTTTAATTGAATTCTGATACCTCTCTCTGCTCATGATAAGGAGCTGATAGTCACAGAGAAATCACTATAGATACAAAGACCAAACATTAGAGAGGGATTGGCTTTTTGGAAGCCTTGTACATATTAGTCGAAAATAACGATTAAGAAATTTATATGCATCAACATATATTATACATGCTTAGAATGAAGGATGATCCAAGGGCAAAGGACAAGTTGATTCAAAGCAGTACTTCTGCCCTCATAGACCTGGTTATGGCTTTCAATTGCCAGATAAAATCAAGCTAACCATTCCAGATGTTGTTGTTTTTTTTAAATTGCACTTAGGGGACACTATCACGGTCCCGCTACAGTGGTACCTCGGGTTCCGGACTATTTCTGGGTTAGTGGAGTCTGTAACCTGAAGCGTATGTAACCTGAGGTACCACTGTATCATGTTTGTGGGATGCTTAAAATGTATTGATGAGGGCAACTAGGGCCTAGGGCCAAATCACATGACCAGCATGCTAATAATTGGCTGCTGAAGTTCGTTTCCAGATCCAAAGATGCTTGAGGCAAATGGGCCATCTGAATTGTTTCTCATGAGCAGAACCTACAATTTTGCATCTTCTCATCCTGCTTTGGAAGGTTTAAATGAGCATGCAAAATTGCTGCATCTCTCTGTGTAAGATCAGAATCTGCCAGATACAGGTACCGTACTAATTCAGAGAAAGGCGTGAAAGCATCTCCAGTCCCCAGTGGACACCAGTGGCGTAGCGTGGGGGGTGCCAGGGGTGCCGGCCGCACCGGGCGCAACATTTTTGGGGGCACGTTTGGCCGGCCCCCCTCGAGGAAGCGGGAACCTCTCCAAGGCGCAGCGCGCCGTCGGTGGAGGAAAAGAGCCTCGCAGCAGCAGCAGCAAAGCCGGGAGGAGGAGGAGGTGGAGCGAGCCTGCTAATTGCTTGCTGGGAATTAAGCGGCTCAAAGGCAAAGGAAAAGAGGTGGAGCCGCTGGCCCGGCCGGGAGGAAGCTGGAGAGAGCAGCGCGCCAAGCGCACGTGACGCAAAGGGCCTGCCCACGTGCAGGCTGAGCTCCGTGTGGCGGGGGCGGAGGGAGGCGCTCGCTCTTTCCAAAGAAGGACCCGGCTACTGGATCAAGGCCACAAGGGCCCATGTAGAGTGAGTGGCCAAGCAGACGCGTCAATGAGAAGCACTCAAAGCAGGACCGGGGCACAAGAGCGCTCTCCCTTCCTGCTGTTTCCAGGGGGTGGAAGCGTCGCTGCCTCGAGGGCTTCCGAGATACCCTGGGGTGAAGTCCCGCTTCACCTTCTTGGGAGTCCCTCCAGTGGCGTAGCGTGGGGGGTGCAGGGGGGGCCGGGCGCAACATCTGGGGGTTAGGGTTAGGGGGCGCAAATCCACGGGTTAGGGGGCGCAAATCCACGGGGTGGGGGCGCAAATTACTTGCCTTGCCCCGGGTGCTGACAACCCACACTACGCCACTGGTGGACACAGATACCATGTCGCCTCTGCAGCCCAGTGAAACAGGAAGAAGCACTGTTGGAAAGGGACCAAGGAGCCAGCAGCCCTGACCATACAATCAGGCACCTGCCATCTGATCTACCTCACCAAATGCCCAGGGCCTTACAGTTCTTTTCTGAGATGCCAGAGGGACCTCAACAAACCACAGAGCACCAAATAAGTTTTTGCTCCTTTTGACCAGGGCGTAGACTGTTTAAGGACTCCTTCCTTACCAAGGAGGGCTGGAGCTTAATTCAGATACCATGGTCTGTACCAACATACAGGAAATCAGTTCAATTCTGGCACTTGTTGGAGCAAGTTGTCTACTTTGATCCACAGTTCAGCAAATTCTTTATCCTGATAACCTAGATACTCCTCTTAGCTGTCCTTCACCAGATTTCCTGCTACCACCCATTTGTTGGTCTCTGCTACCTGCTGCTGTCTGCTTATCTTTGCAGTTCCAGCCTACCCTCAGTGGACTTCATTTGGATTCTGTAGGCCTCAAGCAGTCAAGCCAAGACACAAACAGCTGAGACAACCCATTATAATGACCGTTGGTGAAACTGAAGCAGGAAAGAGAAAGTTGATACTGGTGGGATATAGTAATGCTGTCAAACACCCTTAGGATCTTCCCAGATTGTTTCTTCCCTTCATCTGAGAAATGTGCTATTTGTGGAGAATCCAGACGATATCCCCTAACAGTGAGAAATTGCATTTCCCCTTCAGTCATCCTGCCGAGTTGTTTGGGGAAAATGAAATCTCCCTGCTTACTGCAGATATTGTAATTAATAGGGTTTGTGATTATTAATCAAAATACTTCTGCCCTCTCTTTTGGGCCAAAGGCCCCCGAAGTGACTCATAAGACACCAGAAGAATAAAGGAAACCATCATTTAAAAACACACACAAACGGCAAAGCAGCAATCACACACTATAGCACCGCAGGAGTAGTGGTTGTGATTAAACCAAACCAAAAGTAAAAGCAAAAATGCTGTTGATGATATGCTAGCATGTCAACAAAGAACAGGCCAACTGGTCTTCCTGGAAAAAGTGAAAAGTCTGTCCCTGCATCTCTACCAACTGAAACTATGATGGTGATGGGTTGAGGAGAAGGGGGCTTCTTCTGATGACCACAGTGAGTAGGCAGAATCATGTGGGGGAGGTGCTTTCCTGGGTACCACAGCCACTTATAGCTTTCAAGGTAATTTCCAGCACGTCTTGTGCTTGGAAATAGACTGGAAGCCCATGAAAATCAGAGTCTCATGTTCTGTAGGATGGGCCCTGCTAAAACTCTAGGTGTATTTTGCATCACCTGAAGTCTCCAACACCTTTTAAGAATGTGGATCACCATGGTTGTGCGAGTGTCCTGTGCTTGGAACCTGTGACATCATAACACCTTATTTGGTATAAACTTGAGAAGTATGAATATTCACTGCATCACTGCCAGGGTTGCCAAAAGTCATTCTTCACCTATTCTTGCAATTGTAAAAGGCAAGGCATTATTATTAGTATACCTGAAGGAGTGTCTCCACCCCCAACGTTCTGCTCGGACGCTGAGGTCCAGTGCCGAGGGCCTTCTGGCTGTTCCCTCACTGCGAGAAGCAAAGTTACAGGGAAGCAGGCAGAGGGCCTTCTCAGTAGTGGCACCCGCCCTGTGGAACGCCCTCCCACCAGATGTCAAAGAGATAAACAACTACCTGACATTTAGAAGATATCTGAAGGCAGCCCTGTTCAGGGAAGTTTTTAATGTGTGACATTTTAATGTATTTTTAATCTTTGTTGGAAGCAGCCCAGAGTGGCAGGGGAAACCCAGCCAGATGGACGGGGTACAAATAATAAATTATTATTATTAAATTATTATTATTATTATTATTATTCACTTTTTGATTTTTCCATGATCCCTTGCCACTAGCACCCTTGCTATTCCCCCCACTATAGACCCAGCAGCAAGGCTTTCTCCTGAGAGCAAAGCTGCCCCCAACCCTTTCTATTACATGGCAAAGGTTCTACAAAACTAGAAAAGCGCTAGTCTGATGAACAGTGCTATCTCTGGAAAGCCCACCCGCCCCCAGTGGCATAGCTGTAGACCATGGGTAGGCAAACTAAGGCCCAAGGGCTGGATCTGGCCCAATCGCCTTCTAAATCTGGCCCGCAGACAGTCCGGGAATCAGAGTGTTTTTACATGAGTAGAACGTGCCCTTTGATTTAAAATGCATCTCTGGGTTATTTGTGGGACATAGGAATTTGTTCATTTCCCCCCAAAAAATATAGTCCGGCCCCCCACAAGGTCTGAGGGATAGTGGACCGGCCTCCTGCTGAAAAAGTTTGCTGACTCCTGCTGTAGACTATATTAAGGCAGAATAGGAGAGAAGATGCTTACCCTAAAATTAGTCCTCATGGCTAATTAGATATTCAGAGGAAAGAGGCGAACAGTCCATCTGCAATTCCCATAATGACTTGGAGTATACAGCTAAAAAAATAAGACACTTTGGCTTTTTCAAATCGTTGCTTCTTGTAAAGAATTTGGGGTCCCTCTGGCATCTCAGGTAAGGCAGACCATGGACTGTAATTTTGCCCCAGTTAGCTTGCAAATTCAGCTCCTTTGTTAACTTTGACACATTGCTAATGCCACCACAACTAAATCAATATTTGAAGTTATGATAGATTATTGCTGTGCGTGTGCGTGCGCACACACATGCGCGTGCATGAATATGCATACAAGTCACCTTGAGAGTATTAAAGGACATGAAAAGCAGACCTTATTTTCAGAAAGGAACTCAGTATAATTTTAATACACTTTCCTCTGCTCTAAACTACTTAAATCACTCAAATGGTTGGATCTGTGTATTTACATTGTGAACTGCTGGCACAAGAACTGGCGCTGGATCTCCAAACTCCTCTGTAACTTTGCATTCACATCTCTAGTAGAGCACACAGAAAGTGTACGAACAAGTAAGAATACACACAGGCACCCCAAATCTCTGCTATCCTGAAACCAGAAGACTGCTCTCAGAGTTCTCGTGCCATTTACCATAGTCATTTGCAAAATGAAAGATTGTGCGGAAATGGACTCATTCATATTTCAAGGCTGCTTCACAAAAGAGAGGCGACAGATTTTCAGCTGAATGAGGATGCAATCAAAGCTCACAGCATAGAAAAGGAAAGCAGCAGCAGCAGCAGCAGCAGCAGCTGAACAGTGATTCCAGTTTAATGCAAATGTGATCCTAGCGACAAAGAAACAATGAGTGAAAAGTACCTTCTGAATTCTTCCACCGATATCCAAATACACATACTTGGGCCGGTATGTAGATGAGCTGGATCCCATCTTTTTGAAGACTTGCTACCGTCAAGACTTTTCCTGTAGTTCTGCTAGGTTAACTCTACGGCAGGAATCAGGTCCAACCAAGCCAAGCAGAGCCACTACTGCCGGATGCATTCGTGTCTTTGCTTTACTCCATTCCAGTGTCTCCACCTACAGCAGTCCCTCCTCTTAACATGCATGCATTTCCTTGTGCCTCTCTGCCACCTCCTTTCCGTTTTGTTCATTCCTGTGACTCCAGCAGCAGCCATGGACGGGAGAGAGCCAAGCCCCAGATCCCGTCTCCAAGTGCCCTCTTGATTCCCATAGCAACTCTCTTTGGCTGCAGAAGCCTCTGGGCAATCAGTGTGTGTGATGCTGTACTGCAAAGTAGGCTTTGATTAGCTGCTTTTGACACAGAAGACAAAGCACCACTTAGGATGGGGGGAAATTAGCTTCATTTTTCCCACAGTTAGCGTCAGTAATTTCCATGCTGAAATCTCAACATCCATCCTTTTAGCAAACCTGTCTAAACATTATTTTTGAATGTACGACTAGCTCCCAGCTGCATTAGTTGTTGAAATCATAAGTACACAATGTAGCAGGAGCTGGCATTACACTTCCTCCAATTAAAACAGATTCTTGTATGCATACTTCTGCTAAAATAGTTCTGTGTCCTAAAATAATTCTGCCTACTGGGAGGAAAGGGGGCCCTGGGAATTAATGATACAGTGATATCTAAGTGTATTATTTCAAGGTTGGAACAAACAGGATAGAATACTCTGTCTCCCCTTCCATTCCAAATTAATTCCAAATGCCATCTGCTGAATGTCACTAATGATCTAGATTACAGTGACTGTGGGCTGCAAGATGCTCAGCTGTAGGGCAAACTGTAGGCTGGTTTTCTTGGCTTCTACATGAACAAAACAAGACACCCTAGTCAGGCAAGCTTGCAACAAGGACTTGGGGAATCAGTACATTTATTGACTTGAAGATCTCAAAGTCTAATTGATGATCCCTATATGCCATACGTCTGGAATAGAGCTGCCATACACCTGGAATTTCCCAGACATAGCCGGTAGTCAGCCCTCATAAACAGCATCCAGGAGGAAATCGCTGGAATGTTTAGGAAAATCTGGACGTATGGCAGCCCCGTCGGTACTGTAGATTTTGATGAATTTCATTAAAAATTGCTGAAAAACTCAATTTTTCTTTTGAGATTTCACAAAAAATGCTCAACAGCTCAACAACTTTGGCAAAAAAACCCCCAACCACTACCACTCAACAACTTATTTGTCCAGGTGTTCACTTTTTGAAATATAGCAACCCTACTATATAGTTGACAATCTCTATACGTATAACAGCCGCCTCCAACTAGGCAGCCTCTAGATCTTTGCGGCTGTAACTTGTATGGTTCCTAGCCAGCACAGCCATGCTGGCTGTGGCTGATAAGAGTTGTGCAAAACAACTGGAAAACAAGGTTGTAGGAAGGCTCCTATTAAACATCTGTTTGATGTTTAAAATATTGATTTCTTAATTTTGGGTTCAAAACACAGGATCTTATACATGGGGGTGTCTTATACACATAAAAATACAGTAATTGGAAGAGACAGCAGGCTGAAGAAATTAATCCTGAGCCTTCAGAGTAGGTAGCTGCTGCACTGAGGGCCTGATCCTGTTAGCCATAAGGGTTGTTTGTCAGAACCATTCATTACTAACAACAACAAACAACCCTGTAACATTCTTCACCCTTGGATTTGTGAACATGAAGTAAATCTTGAGTAGGGAGTGACAACATCTGGAGAAAGATACCTTATGCAATGATTTAATGAGGACTATTTTCTCATCTCCCTGTCCCCTTAAATCATTATGTAAAGCATAGCTGATACTTCAGGGAGGCAAAAATTTAATGGCATTCACAGGGCCGGATTTAGGTTTGATGAGGCCCTAAGCTGCTGAAGGTAATGGGGCTCTTTATATGTCCAGCTGTCCTTTGTCAACAACAAATTGTTGGGTTTTTGTGTTGAATATATGCTATATGGTGATTTATGGACCTAATAGGTATCTAAAGCCATTTGCACATAACAATATATATATTTTATCAAAGTAATTGATATAGAAATGAGCAAACCAGTGATTTTAGGGAGCAGGTTGGCAGGTGGGGCCCATTACTTACATCATAGGAGCCTACAACACAAAACACTGTTGCTGTATGTAGGTTTTATTTTATTTTTATTTTATATTTAGGAAATGTACATCCAGTTGTTGTTTTTCTTTAAGAAAAATTGGGGCCCCAAGAGAGTGGGGTCTTAAGCTATAGCTTGTTTCGCTTATACATAAATCCGGCACTGGGCATTCATGATTCATAACCATTGGCAAAGTTGTTGTTTCCGTTATACTTATCTATTCTCTCCCCCCTGCCCTGTCCCAGGTTCAGAGCAGCACCATATTTAATCAGACTGCAGAGGACACTCTATCGGGTAGGTGTGAAGTGAAGAAGGAGCAGTTTTAAGATCAATGGCCAGCTGAGAGGGCATTTTGGAGATCAGGGCTGAGTTGGAGGGAGGAGGTGCGTGACTTCTGGAGTCAGAATTTATATTTTACCAAATAGCTTGGCTTACTTCTGAGCCAGTTCAATTCAGACCAGGGCAGCTCACCTATCTCTACCCCTCTCACACACATACCCCAGCCACAAACAATCTTCCTATCAGATTCTTTTCCCCGCAAACAAAAGTTTGTCTGTGGCCCTCATCTTGTTATTTCTTACTTGAGCACTTGTCTCCCTGTATTCTTTTCACTGAACAGCCACATGTCAGCTGGGACATTCATTAAAGTGCTGTTTCCACACCTCTTTTCTAGATTCGGATTTGCTGCATGTTTGCACCTTAAAGCACAATGTCTCAGGAGTGTTTCAAGTCAAGTCAACTGGAGTCTTTGGCAGAAAACATGAAGTGGAAGGCTTGTTGTTATTTTTAAGTCTGTACTGGAGCTGCAGCTTCCAGGAATGAGCCAAACACGCAAAGTATCTGAAATACAAGCATGCATGCCTCTTTCAGAAAGATGAAGGGCTCAGCATCCTTTGAGCACATGATTCCAGGAAGCTCAGATGCGTCATCGCATACAGCCACCTTCTGGCTAAAGTACACACTAAATTATAAAAAATAAATCAAACCTATTTTCTCCCTGCTGAAATGGTGCCTTTGTCTGTCATCTAGCTTCCTCTGTCGCTTACAGTTCTCCATTCCCAATTTCCTTTTTTCCATTATACTTCATGCTCCTGTCTTTCTTTTCTCAATCTCTCCTCAAGGTGCTGTCTTACTGCCACTTTGGCTTTTCCTTATTTAAACCCTAAAGAATTGTTGGGCTTCATTTCCTTTGCTCTTGTAGTTTAAATTAAACTCTCTCAGACTAGAGTCAAACAGCTTTTGTCTGAGACAAAAACAAGGCGACAACACACCTTTTCTTGCTCTTTCCATTAAAAAAAGTCAAGCCAAGTGTTTAGTTACAGAAATTTATGCACATCATCTTAGGGCACAGCTGCACTCAGGGTTCAGATGGTGTTGATGTTGGTTTTCAGTCTTCATGAAATGTAAATACATTCTAATTTGAAAGGACAAAGCTGCTTTTTATCAGCTCAGATTTACCGTATTTCTGTAGACAATTTCTTAAAACATAATCCCTAGCTGGTCAATAGCATCATCTGGTGGCGATCGTGACTTCCAAAATCTGACTTCTGCCCTTCAACTTTGCTGGTTGTGCTATTATTATTTTATTTGGGAATAATAAGGTAATAGTCTCTCATCTTGTATAGTATACCTTTACAGAATTTGCTCATCATTCCCCCAGTTGATTCTGGTGGGACTCTGGTTGCCTTTTATGGAGAATCCAGATAGTATTGTTGCCAAATTGTTACATCCGAATCTTTTTAAGTAGCTGGTTCACACAACACTGTAAGTCAAACTATGGCTTAGCAACATAACACAAATGTGTGATGTTTTACTGCTGCATTAAGGTAGAATCTACACACATATTAAAAATGCTGTGAAAATGCTTCTTTAGAAAACGTTTTGAAAAATACACTGAATTTTGCATAGCTCACCATCGCCATCTAGTGTCACGTTTGTATATTGCACTTTACAACACTTTTAAAACGTTTTATTTGAGGCTGAACAAGATTTGGCTTAGGGTGCTTCCAAACTGAGAGTTGTGGTTAAGCTGCATATTTATTTTTTTAAAAATGTGAATCTCTGCTGGGATTCTCTCACCAAAGAGTACTTACCCCAAACCTGCATCTTGACATCCAGGAATTCTCCTTTTATACACCTATTTCCCTTTACAACTAGCATGAAGAGTTTTGTAAGTAAACCATTTTATGACCTACCGAACATGGAATCTATGTTCTATGGAAGTGGAATAGATTGGAAATAGCCTTTAAAAGGTGACATTTTGGGACTCACTGGAAGGGCACATTCTGAAGGTTTTATAGTCCATATTTCCACACTCTTCTTTGCTGCAAGTTTTGCACTGTTAAATCTCTGCCGGGTTCTCTCACCAGGGGGTACTTGCCCCAAACTTGGGTCTTGGCTTCCAGGATTCCAACAGAGAGGTAGTGCTGGATGTTATAGGCAGTGTATAGGCAATGGGAAGAGACACCGTATATTAAGAGAATGGGGTGTGTGGAGGAACTGCCTGCACCACCCTAAATCCTGTGCTGCTGATGGCAGAGATTTCCTTATTACTAATCTTTGCAAGCTTGTCTGGGAGCCCTTTATTATTTGGCTGAAGAGCCAAAGAGTGCTTTAATTAAATGGCTACATGGTGCTCTTTCTGCAACACAAATCAGACATGTTTGAAGAGAAAGACATCCTGACCAGCTCTGGGAACACGGTCAGGATTTTGGCACACTAGCCTTGTGTTTCTGGGAAATCCCAGCTATAAAGATTGTCTGGACTCATTTTATAAAAGCAGTGGAAGACTTAACAGACAATTGGAACTTTCTACAGGCTGCTGGCAAGGAACATTCTAAATTGAAGGGGGGCTGCTGGATTGCTCTGAGATGACAGCCAAGAATGGAGAAACTCAAGTTCCTCCATTAACCAAAGGTTGATTGACCCTGTCTGGCAGGAAATTTGGAACCGATGGCGACACTTTGTGCCTCAAAAAGGGGAGAACAGTTTTCTTTTCAGAGAAAATTGTGCATTTTCTTCTGTGCTCCAGGAAAAACGAGGCAATTTCGTATCAAAATGTAAGGTAACATTTCAGAATCACAGCTATTTTGTTCTAAGCAGTTGCCAAGTGCAATGACAATAAGGTTCTGTCATTTCTTTTTAGAAAAAATAAAATTACTGGAAACTTAAAGGAAGAAATAAACCATTTCACAATAAAACAGACAGCAGCTGTCCAATGTTGATGCTTCATTGACACACAGTATTAACCTGTGGAAAGTACTACAGTACTTTGGAAAACTATGGTGCTGTTAGCAGGTGAGCTCATTGCCCACAACTAGGAAAGTAAGTGTCAGTAGCTTAAACAATTTGAAGCTCTGGATGGTT